ACTTTTTTTCAATTCATACAAATATAACTTAGATCATAACTTAATTATTTCTTCCAAACCTTTTCTTAGTTGCTGGAAAAGCATACACTGAAAATCATCACACATACCAATGGATTCTTTGCAGGCTGTTGAGTATTATTGTTGGCCCTTGAAGACTGAATCCACATTAAGTGATTATTTCTGAAAAGTAAAAGAGGTATCAGTTTGAATTAGCTTGGAACTGTCATTGGTCATAAAAACTAAAAAGTCACAGCTTTAATATAACATTAACTCAATGTAGCAAACTTACTTAAGAAACTTATGTTGCTTTAATGGAACTCTGCCTGCTACAAGACAATTTTCTGGCCCCTAAAAAAAATTAAAAGTACATAGTTTATATAATATTAAGTGTATCTGTCATTGGTATTTTTCCAGAATTTGATCTCAAACTACAGATTTAAAAAAAAGGGAAACAGGATTAAATTATTGTTATTAAAGCCAATACATATCTACAAATAGTCTCTTCACTTGATTGTAGAATCTTTAATATATTTTGTTCATAGTCAACTCTACTGCTTCAACAAGAGTTTTTTAGTTGAGATGGGTGGTATAAAAATGTGATGAATAAATGAATAAACAAGTATGAAGTCTCTCACCATCCGTTCAGATCAAATTTTTTGCTTTTTCAGGATTAAATGATTTGGCATCCTTGTGTGCTTAGTGCTTTCTACAGTAACATAATTTTTCATTGGGAAATGAAACTTTGTTATTACTTCACCCACTAAACAGCAACAATAGTTTAAGAGTGTATAGTTCTATTCATATGTCAGTCTTTCAACAGTCATTTACAGAAGTGATACCTTGATATGAGGTGTGTTTATTATACAGTTTTTAAATGCATAAACAAATTTTCAATAAACAGATAAAAAAAGTCAGTCTAAAGCTTGTTTTCAGGCAAATCTCACCAGGGCTGATGAAAGCCACACTGAACTGCTGGTAAAAAAATAAGAGAGCAGTAATTATGCATGTGTGCATATTCTCTAAAAACATACAGCTATACTCAGTTCGATTGTGTTAAATTGGATTGCAAAATACTCTAAAAGAATCTAGGAACCACTGAAAGAATGGTCCCTAGATTCCTTTAGACTATTTTGCAATCTAATCTAATCCAATCCAATTCAAATAAATATAAACCATGGTTAAAATCAGTCAAAACATTGGCAAGTTTAAAAATCTACAGTAATTGCAACAAAAGGTTGAAACATTTCAATTGAAGATTCAAATCCATGAGTCCCTTTCATTATTATTGTCAGATTTATAGGAGTTCAAGGTGATGTGTATTGCATCTCTCCCTCCACTTTTTCCCACAATCACCCCGAGAGTGAACTGGGGTGAAAGAGGGAGACAAGCCCAAGTCACCCAGTCAGCTTCCTTGTCTGAGAGTAAACCAAATTCTGCTAGATACTTGTCTAGCAGTGTAACTACCGTACTGCACCACCTTGACTTATTATAGCAGCATACAAGGTTTCCCTTTGCTAATGTGTCTTTAGAACAAATCTAAGTTCATTTAGGCCAAATTTGCCCCATAAACAGTACCAAAGAGATATTATTTAAAGTTATTTAAGTGCCAGCACATTACAACTGCTTATCTGAAATATAAACACTCACTTTGGCGTTCTACTTTTTGTGGAGAAACAGGGTCAACTACCCGACCACTCTTCCCCAACCTGGTGTCGAACTACAACTAACATTCCCAGCCGGTTGATTAATATAAACCGCGTAGCCGGCAAAGTCTGATGTATAATTTGCTCTCACCCCCGGAAACCACCCAAACGCCAAAATTACCTGCCATAGCCGGCTTAAAAGGGTCACAACCGCTCGAGCCGCCATCTTTCCGGCCCCTTCTACAACTTCCTCTTGCTAAAATACCATGGAGTTTCCGTACTCAGACAGCCTGAGCGGCATTTTTGCGCAAGACAGCGTCAGTTTTCGACGGCGGGAGTCGCTAATAAAAATGAAAGTAGGGGGCGGTAAGTCCTCCTGATCTGCCAGAAATATTTTTTTTTTCTAAACCATTTACGAGATCATCCTTTTCAAGAAAAGACGGTGTAAAAAAGGTGATCCGTTGACGCAAAGAGCCCCCATTTAATGTACTTTCCGAAAGGTGTGGGGGACTATTTTTTAAATTCTTTTGCAAATGCTTCTGGGAGAAATAAACCTACACTGCATTGGATAGTCTACACCAGGGGTAGGCAACCTCGGCTCTTTTATGACTCATGGACTTTTGAAGTCCATGAGTCATAAAAGAGCCGAGGTTGCCTACCTCTGGTCTACACAAACCTTCCTGGGATTGGGCGAGGCTGAGAGACGGCGACAAGGTTGAGCCGCTGTCGCCTATACTGTGGCGAGCGGGGCAGCGCTGCTCAAGGTTGGACGACAGTCTTGTAACATATTCCAACGAATCTATCCGAAAAGGGGATGCTAAAAGGAATGGTGATCGCGAGGTCCCCATTTTACCTCCGTGGCACAGAGACCAAATGCATGCCCTACTATGCCATGGTAGGGCAGCTCATGCGGTTACGCGTCCCAAGGCCCCGACTCTGGGGCAAGGACGAGGCTACCTGTTGTTTCTGATCCCGCTAGGTTAATGGTATAGCCTCGTGTGAACATCCCCATAGTGAAATCACCTTGTACCGTCGTACTCAAATTTCAGACCGATCGCTGATCCCTTAATAAAAGGGCTAAATTATCCTGTAATCGACCGTGATTGGTGAAATGTTTCTACCAGGAAACATTTGCATTTGCCTTTGCGTTTCCGCCCAGTTTTTGAACTCAAAGCTTAACATTCAGATTGCAGCGTAAAAAAAGAAAACTGGCTAAGCTGGCGCTTTTACGGCCTGCTTGCGTCAATCTACTTCTCGCCGTTGGTGACGCTTGAATTCACTGTACTTCGTTCAGTTAGGAGACAAGACCAACGCTTTGTGCAGCGATCGGTTTTAATTGTGTGAAGATCCCAGATAACCATTAAATCACAAAACTTGATAAACTATCTTTTTGCCCACGTGGAGTTCGAGCACAAGACACCGGAAGAAGGTGGAGCTGAAAGCCGCCAGCTGCGTTTATGGAACCTTTCCAGTAATTTTAGAAAAAATGTTTCTCAGACTTAGCAACTTTAAGATGTATGAACTCACTTTCTAGAATTCCCCAGCCATATTCTTGGAGTTGAAGTCTACATCTCTTAAGGTTGCCAGGTTTGAGAAATACTACACCGAGTCACTTAGCATGGGTTCCTTATTCAGATAATCAAGAGGACATTCTTTTACGTGTTAATGCATTAAAAATACTTTCGTTTCTTAATTTTACTTTTTCAATTAACCAGCCCCCTTATTAAGCTCTATGTAATTCATATACATTCAGGTCTTCTGCTCTCCCAATCTCAATACACAAAGCTTTTTGAGGTGCACAGATGGGTTCTATGACTCCAGGCCAAAACTGTTAACAGTCCTACATTGATCTATCTACAATTGAATGCTATTGGTAAAGTGGATTATGAGGGATGAATGTTTTGTGATAGAATGAATGAGTTCCTTGGCCTTGGAAGTTTGAGGCTAGATGGAAGGGAGGGGAGGGGAAAAGAGCAAGAACTGAGGATGTAGAGTGAGGGTACAATTGGCAGTTGAAGATATAGCAGCAATCTGTGGGTGGGTTGCATTTAAAAAAGATGGGGTTGCTGATTGACAACCATCTTACTGTCCAGTCCTTTGTATTTGCCCTTAAGCCAGATCACTGGATAGTTGGTAGCCCTGGGTTCCTGCTGCTGCTTCTGAACACAAGTTTGGTTTGTAATAAACCTGATCCACACACAGGGTCTAATAATGGACGAGACAGTTGACTTGTTGGGTACACTGAGACCTAGTGGACCAAAGGAGAGAGGGTATGTATTCACTTTGGTTTTATGAGTGCCACCAGCGATTAGCTAAGGTGGAAATGAGATGATTGTAATCTGGAAGACCTCAATGGCTTTTAAGGGCTCTGCTTCAGAGGCAATTGGATGAGAGACCTTTTTGGCTGAAACTGGGTTCAAGGGAACTGTTGAGTTGCTGCACTGCCTTCCCTCCTGTGCAGCAGCATCCCTGTCTAGTCCACTACATTTACTAAAATCAGTAAAATCTTAGCAGTAAAATCCCAAGGCGGTTAGTGCTTGGATACTTGAACTTCCTCCCAAGTGACCTGAAATCAGGAGTAGCTCAGGAGTTCACGACCCAATCATTAACCTGACCCAATCATTGAAGGCACAATACATAAGGTTACACATTAGATCTATATTTTGTTTGGACAGTTGAAATGTGGAGGTGACAGACATTACTATAGGAAAGGCTGATTTTTGTCTTGTTGGTGCTACTCTTCCCCAGGAAAGTAAGGCCTTTAGACTTGATCACACCAAAGACTAAGTTTGGAATTTTCCCTGAAGATCTACTGGGTCATTTGGGTGTGGTTTTAGTCTGGAATAGGCAAATTATGGGGGCCTTGAATCAAATTGTTCTTGTAGAGCTTTTCACTGAACACTGTATCTTTGGTTCTCCGAGAAGCTATGGGAAACGAAGCACAAGTGACAGTTCTGTTGGCAAAAGGCAAAAAGCGAGATGTAAATAGATTCCAGAATCCTTTTTGCTTGCTTTACCAACAATGGCCATATGTATGTGTATGTGTTGGAATTTGGAGCACATGGTTGGGAGGGAAGCGGGCTTAGATTGGAATACAGTATTTAATAATTTTCTGAGTTTCTGCCCTATTGTCTCTTCCCTAAGGATGCAATAGGGAATTTTTCCTCTGCAGCCTCTAGCTAACTTCAAACTCTCTTCCATAAAGATGCAATACGACTTTTTCTAGCTAACTTAAAACTCTCTTTCTGGCAGGGGACAGTCTGCCCCCATTTGTATCAAAATTTGGTCCTGTTCAGGTTCAGAAAAGTACCATGTTGACCCCTTTCATTCTGCTACTGAAAATATGAAACCAAAAAATAAAATGCTGATTCATTTATTTAAAAGATTTTTTTTCCATCACATGAACAATTTTTTAAACAAAGTATATCTTATCAAAAGTATAAAATACTGTTTCTCCCTGCAAACTCTTACAGAATCCCTTTGATTTTACAATTGCCTGTCAAGAAAAAGCTGTATAATCTATACACAGTACTTGCTTTTAATTATGTACCAGGTACAATGCATGCCTCATTTTACCTCATCAAAAAAAAAGAAGAAATTGCCCCCTCCCATGTAATATATTATGAAACTAAGCATTTAGTGCAAACTTGACTAATTACATCCTGAAATTAAATCACATGCAATTCAGGTGTAATTAAGCCGTAACAGGCAAACATTTATTATAAAATAAAATAAAAATGATGCTAAATGTTTTTAAACCAAATTTTTTTACACTACACTATACTTCAGAAATTTACAACTTTTTTGTAACAATCAATCAGCAGTTAAATACTTCTGAAAATAAGATTTCTCCATTAAAATATATTTTCCTTTTTTCTTAGGTTATGTACAATTTTAATTAATTTGTTACTGAAATAACTGTGATAAACACAAAACTTCAGTAAACAGAACCTCCCCCACACAAGTTTTCTGGCAAAATATTGAAGCATATTTCAACAACATTTTTATGGAAGTACCAATATTCTTTCTTTTGCAATTCTGTTTAATGACATCTCTGTATATCCAGAATATACTGGATGGGGTACAGAGTAATTGTTTTACATAATTTAAAATGAAACCATGCATTATCAGGTTCATTATGAATTAGTCCAACGATCAATTGCAATACTGTCAATTTTACCAATATCTTCCAGTACATTGTAAGAATGCAATTCATTGGCACTAGTGCTGTGGTTATAAATCTAAAGACATAACCAGGAACAATTTTATATTAGAGACTTATTCTAAGGAAATAAAAAATATATATCCTTAAGGAGCCTCCAGGTATGTTGGACTATAATTTTCAGCTATGGACCACACTGAGTAAAAATGTTGAGACCCAGTCTCAACTCATCCGATGGATGTAGTTTGAGGAACACTAAAACCTAATGTTATTTAGATGAATAATGGCCTGATGCTTAATGAAGGTAATAACCGGTTTCTTAATGAAGGTAAAAAAAATCTGCCTTATAGTTTTACATGAAAATAATATAGATCAGCTTGGGATGATCTATTGTGAGCTTTACCCTTTTATCAAAGACAGCAGAATCATTTTTGCCCAGTGGGATTGGTCTACCCCACTCATGCTGGGGTCTATGGCAGATCCTATCAGTCAATGAATTTCAGCTGGTGGGATCTAGAAGATCTGCCATAGCCTCTACACTTTGGAATATCTTGCCACAGGAAATAAGATCTGCCCATTCTTTTTAAGCTGTCAGGAAAAGCCTTAAAACCTGGCTATGCTGGCTGGCAAGAGGTCCTGAAGGACCAGCTGGAGGCGGTTGATGCACCAACAGGAGACCCAGCTCACTTCTCTCCTCCAAACTCATGTTTTTTAGTTTGTTTTAAGGTTTGTAATTTTAATCTGCTAAGTTGTCAGATATTTGTATATTTTATCTTACTGTAAGCCACTCAGAGTTGCCTTGAACTGCAAGATGGGTGTCAACTAAATTTGATAATAATAATATTAAAAAATAGTAGACAAAGCAGATAGTAATACAATCTGGCAATGGTTAAGAGCAGGAAAGTTGAAAGAGACCGAGAAGCTAATTCTCGCTGTACAAGACCAAGCCTCAAGAACAAATGCATACAAACCAGAGCTGAGAAGTCAGTAACAGTTAGCAAATCTTGCCTCTGCAAAGAAACTGAAGAAACAGTGGGTCACCTGGTTAGCTGCTGCAAGAAGATTACACAGGCTGACTACAAACCACCTCATGACAAAGTAGCAACAATGGTGCATTTGACAATCTGCAAAAAATACTATTTGCTTGCTTGCTTGCTTGCCTGCCAGCAAGAACTGATGGGACCATAAAAGAGAGAAAGTAATAGAAAATGAAGAATCTTTGGGACTTTAGAATCCAAACAAACAGGCAAACAGAAATCTGAATTTCAATATTATCAAAGTGAAAACTGTTAAAACATTAATTGTGGCTTTGTATTTTGGCTGTATAATTAAAATGAGAAGTTTAGCACATAAACACAATATGGATCTCCCAAACTTGGGTAATGTTTTTGGGTTTATTTTTAGTTTTAAACCTGCCACACCCCAGACATAACAACTGTCATTAAGACAGACAAAAAAGCCTAGATAGTGGATGTGGCTGTACCTGGACACATCAGAAGACAAAAGAAAGAACTGGAGAAGAAAATAAAATATAAAGACCTGCAGATAGAAATAGAACAACTGTGACAGAAGAAAGCAGTAGTAGTTCCAATAGCAATAGGCTCTTTGGGTGCAATCCAGAAAAAAACTGGAGCACCACTTGAACAGCATTGACAAATTGCAAAAGGTAGCTTTACTCAGGACAGCTTACATCCTGCAACAATATCTTTATCACCATCTAACATCCACATCTGCTTGCTCCAAGGGTCCTTGGGAAAGGAATAAGGGGGGAGGAAAAGCCAAATCCAGTTTAAGAATATAGCTGACTGTGCAATGAACCATAATAAACTCTCTTCAATTTCTTTGTTAAAGAATTCATACACATCAGAAGAAAAAATCCACCAGACAGCTTGCAATTTACCACCTACTGACTAGTGAAAAGAAGCCTTTGGTATAATTTGAACTTGGCTACTTTTCATGGTGTGCTTGTGATCTGTAATTGGGCACAGAACTGATTTGAACACAGTAATTACCACATTTACAAAAATTATCATTGGTGGCCATGGCTAGCAAAGCTTTGAAGAATAGAAACTTTAGGATTTGGCTGTGTAAGTGATTTTTACAAAAATATCTTTAAGACTATTAGATTTTCAAATACTAAGATCTGGCTCTCATGAAAATGTCCATGACTGCAAACAGAACTATTTTATTCTGTCACATAACACTAAATTCTTTGTTCACTGATAAATCATGCTAAAGAATTATATTAAAAACCAAACCCACTCCTGATGTTGAAAGAGTTGCTTAGCTAGGATATTGTTGATCCATGTAATCATTCTCAAACATAATTAGAGAGGAAAAGATGGGGAAAATTTTGATCATTATTGGTTTAGCACAAGATTATCATAAAACACAACTCTGTGTATATTAAAACTAATATAACAAAATCAGGAAAAGGAAGAAACAACCATAATTACTGTACTGGTTGAGATTAAATTTGTACTTAAATTTGCAGCCTCATGTTATTGCTAAAAATAGCAACATAAAAACAAAATGGAAGGAAATCTGAATTTCAAAACAGTTATCAAAGTAAAAACTGTTAAAACATTAATTGTGGCTCTGCATTTTGGTTTTATAATTAAAATGAGAAGCTTAACATGTAAACACAATGTAGGTCTCCCAAACTTGTGTAATTTTATTCGGCTTATTTTAAGTTTCAAACCTGTAAAAGTCAATTTGGCAGGCATAAAAAGTACAATGTTCAATACATTTACACTAACCTCATCAACAAATTATACACTTGGCAGTTTTTAAACTCTTTGGCAATGACCAAAACCTGCATGGTTCCATCTAGGTTCTGTACACTTTCATGATATATAATATAATTCAGTTTACAAAAGAGAATGGAACTGCACCCAGGTCTGGGTGCATTCTGTACCAAATACATGTGCATTTTGGAGCCACTGAGATACAGTAGCCACATAGAATTTATGATCAGAGACAAAGTGCAAAACTATTCTTTTCTATCTGGATGAATTTTAACATTTTTTTTATATATATACGTCGCCAAGACACTTCCAATTTTACGCGGGAGAAAACCCGAACAACCAAAGACATACATATATATATATATATATATATATATATATATATATATATATATATGCAAATTTATCTGAAGAAGGGCCTTTCTCCCTCCTCTTCTTTCTGTGAGAAAAAAATGGACTTGCACCTTTACAGGAAAACACTGCTGCAAAGCTAAAGGTAGCATACTGTACCTATACTTTCAAAGACAGCTTTTTAGTAACTGACTTACTGTACAAATTGGCAATACTTCACTACATAAATCATTGATTTACATGCAATCCAGGTACCTTCTATGAAAAGGTGGTGAGTTTGCTTCAGCTATTCTGTCACTGTAAAATCAAAACTCTATCTACAATCTCCCAGATATTCCTTCATACACTGGCCCTGTTCCTTCTGAATCTCCTAAACTGGAAGCTCTGAAGTATGCATCACGACTATGAAAACTCTTGAAAACAAACAGTTTTATACATATTAGATTTGGTGATAATAAAAACTGCTACTTGGAGGAATGATCTAGTCATTCCTTCCAATTTCATAGTTGTTTCTTCCTTCCAGATACATGTAAAGCAGAACAGGACATATTGCCATCAATCTACCTGTGCCCAACCAAATAGAATATCCATTTAAATCTTGTTAGAAAAGACAATCAAGATCTCTTCAGAATTTTCATTTGGTGTCAAAGAAATGAATTAGCTGGATTATAGGCCCAAGCAGAAGGACCATATTAGTTTGCCCTGGTCCAAAATTGCCAGATACTAACAACTTATTCCATGTCGATCTTGGATTGAAGATGCAGGTATCACTGACTTATTTTTGCTATCTCACAGTCCTATTGCAGGCTTTTTTGAAGCCAGAATTAACAGAGGTGAACAAAAGAAAGTATCCTGAGGAATTTAAAGAACATGATGTTTCTTTGAAAGTTTTAAGATATATGAACTTTTCAGAACATTTGATTCCAATATATTACACAAGATTCCTTTAGAAAACAACAATTCCTCTCCACTTTTAAAAAAAGAAAAGAAAGGAAAAACATCACAAGACAGATGTGTTTAAATCCAATTCTGGATTTAAATGAATCCAGCTATAGAAACAGTTTAAAATAAAAGGGAAGAAATATTGTCTTTTCACTGGAGGAAACTTATTTCCAACTGGCATCTGTAATGTTACAGATGTGGCTCATTTTGTCTACAGCTCAACCTCATCCTGAAGCAACTCTGATTCTTCTTCATCCAGTAAGAGGCTGGGATTTATCACTTCAGCATTGTCAATTACTTCTCCCAGTTCTTTTACAACCTCGCTGCCAAGGTCATCTCCCTGTTCAACTTGCTTTATTAAGTCTAAATGATCCAGGGGAATCAAGCTGTGCCTTGGTGATCCAGTAGTCCTTGCTATTGTAGCTGCCATTTCGGCTGCAACAGCAGCCTTCTGGGCTTTCTGCCTCTGTTGTTCTTCCTGCTGGCGGTGGGTCTTCATATGAGCATTGCGACTTTTGATTTTGAAAAACATCCTAATACAATATGAAAAGGAAGGAAGAAAAAGAAATCTGTATAAATTACACAGGTATGTTACATTTTCCTCTTGAATTATGCTTCCTGTGCGGAAGAAAGGGCTGACCCTTCACTGCTGATCAGATGTTACAGAGAATGACTTAACCGGGTGGCAGAGACGCACATTCTTGACATGTTACAGGTTGCCATCAGCAAGAACACATGGGCCATCTTGTTCAACTTCAAAACACTTGTTCCATGTACATCCCTAATCAGAAGCTTGTAGTACTTGGGGATTTTGTAGTACCTGGGGATTTTGCAAGAATTTCAATTCACTTTTAAAAACCACACTCCTTCCCCCAATTAAGCTATGGGAATTATTATTTGGGGGAGAAGTGATTCTATGAGGGAGATGGATGGTTAATACATACATACATACATACATACATACATACATACATACATACATACATACATACATACATTTAAAGTGAAAGGATGTGGTACTGGCATAAACAGGAAATTCCTGGCTAAGCATACACTCAGATACCTTTTCTTAATTCTAATCCCTTTGCCCAAATAGGGAGATCCTACACATTTGAAGTCTGTGAGGCTAAAAACTTTCAAGGGCAAACTTTATTATTATTTGATAGCTTTAAAAACGGAATGCTAAGGAGTTTTCTACTATATCACCCAATAATTCAGTAGGTCTGTAGACAAGTGTCTCTTGCTCAGCTTCCTTTAAATGATGCAATCAGCTAAAGATGCAGATATCAGGTAAGGTAGCATAATCCTGAGCAATCCTGTGGTAGGCAGTAAATAAAAATTGTGGTTTGTAAATACCATTGGCTGGATTGACATGTCACATTAAGCTAAAACAGAAACAAACCACATGATATACAGTACGAGTTCCACCTCTCCCTCAAGCCAAAAGAGGGTTAAAGTTTGGTTTATGACATCTTAATACTGTCTAAGTTGTACACATTATATTTTACCACTCTATAATACAGTGATTTGAAACAGCCTTCTGCATCCTGTTGCCCTCTGGATACTTTAGGAGTACAATTCCCAGAGTTCCCAGCAAGCATGACTGTGTATCACACTCATTAAGGCTACATTAGAATTACTCTTATTCATTAAGGCAACTTCCTTACTTTGTTGGGAAGTGATTTTCACCGAGTTTTCTACACAGAGTGTCACAAATTCTAGTTTGTGTGTAGATAGCTTTACTTACTTGCCACATTCTTTACAGGGGAAAACTGTAGGCGGATCTGTCTCACCACTTGTTGTGCTATGAGCTGGGGAACTCTTGACAGAGCAGTAGTCATTCTGAGAATTCGACTTCTGTTTAGTGCCAGGGCCCCCACAGCGGGTTTTGACCACAGGATTTGTACCACCGTGAATACGTGCATGGCCATTCAGGGCTTGTCTGGAAGTGAAGACCTAGAGGGCAAATAAGTCAAAAATAAATTTTCTGAATTAAAGTTTAAAAAAAAATGTTAACAATGATACTGAGTTCCTCAAATGGTATCTTGCCTGTTTTCTTAATTTGACTAGGCAAGATAATTTAAACATCTGTTCTGAACTTTTTATTTCTGACTGGCCAGTTATATGCATGAAGACAGCTTCACCATTCATCCTAAGAACAGCTTTTGAACAGGCTGTCATTTAGCTATCTTGGCTAACAGCTATGATCAAAACCACATGCCTATAGAGATCATCCATTCACATCTTTGTCAAGCCAATGACCAACAATGCGTTTACAATCACTCTTGGACTTCAATAACATATTTGTGAAAATTTCTAAATTAATATCCATGACTGAAGATATCCAAGTTATACTTTACTTTTATTATTTGTAAGGTTAATCTCAGGCATAGGCTAGGCTAAACCAATCATAAGCAGCTTTTTTAGTTGCTTGGAGCCACATTCAATTTGGGAGGAAAGAAAGAAGAACCGAGCAGTAGATGGGGATCATAAGCTAAGTGGGGAAGACTGGGGAATGGGCAGGTCCAACTTTGGGGTATTTGGTGAGGATTGGTTTATTTTAATTTTGTTTTGTATCTCATTTCTCTTATTTGCAGCTCTATGTGAATAATATTATAGGGTGAATGTAACAATTTAATATGTTTCTATTACCAAACAGCAGAAATGTCTCCTGCTGATGAAATTTTGTTGTGTAGTTAGATGAATTTTGGAGGACAGAAAAATGGAATTTAGAAGCCCTAAATCCAGCCTAATTAAAGAGGAACAGAAACCTAGGAACCCTATAGTTAACGTACCATATTGGGTGAACATGAATTAATTAAAAAAAATATTAAAAAAATAATTTTATTTCTCTTCTAGAACAAGTACATGTTCTTCTTTGTTGAAAGTTATACATCACATTTTTTTAAGAGTTCAGAGTGGCTTATATAGGGATCTACTTTATTTCATACACTCCTCTGATACAGGTTGGACCATGTGTGTGACTGGCTCAAAGACTCCCAGTATGTTTTCATGGGTGAGGGTGGACTTGAACCTAGCTCTCTGGTGTCCTACGTCTGTTATCTTAAGGCCTATGCCCCTCTAGGCATCAGTGTTAAGAGATTTGGCATCCAATATCAATTACTGAACGCATATTGTGAAGTCACAGAACTGCACAGTCTAGCTGCCTCTGTATCCACACACTTCTGCATGTGTGCATTAACATATTAGTATGATTAGTTGCAGTCAACCAAATGTTTAGTCCAGATTTGGCAATTTTATCCACTTATCAAGCCTTTTCCAAGAACCTGAGATAGCAGATGTTGTTGTTTGATGGCATTATATTTATCACTGCAGTATGTAAGCTGCTCCAAGAAAAGCTGTCTTTTGTTGACTGATGGTGATTTTGTCAATACCTATGGTGTTCAACTGGTACTCCAGATGTTTTGGGATTGCATCCAAGGCACCTATTACTATTTATGCTATACTGTTTTCTTTAGCCACAGTTGATTCATTTCTATTTACAGGTCTTTTTATTTTATGACTTTATGTGTGCATTGATGTATTAAAATTCACTTACAGCCCCACAGTCTGGCATTTCACAGATAAAAGAAGTCGCAGGTAGACCAAGGCTTTGCAGAGAGGGTGAGTTAATGGGTGATGCAACAGCAACAGATGGTGGGTCAGGGGAATTCTGAATTTCTGTATCCTCTTCTTTTACAGACGCTTTTTCTTCCTCAGTTTGCTCTTCACCTTCCATCTCCTCATCTTCACCACTTGTCTAAAATTCAAAGACATGCTAGGTGATAGTGGAATAACTGTATAAAAAACTCTATACAGGGAAATTTTAAAGGATTGAAGTAGCTCACATGTACCAACAGGTAATCTTGACTTACAACAGTTCGTTTTAGCGACAGTTCAAAATTAAGTGACATGTGACCACTTTTCACACTTATGACCTTTGTAGCATCCCCATGGTCATGTGATCAAAATTCATACGCTTGGCAACTGACTCATATTTATGATGGCTGCCATATTCCGGGTTCATGTGATCACCTTTTTCAACCTTCTGACAAGCAAAGTCAATGGGGAAGCTAGATTCATTTAACAATTGTGTTACTAACTTAATAACTGCAGTGATTGGCTTAACAACTATGGCAAGAAAAGTTATAAAATGGGGCAAAACTCACTTAACAACTGTCTTGTTTAGCAACATAAATTTTGAGCTCAGAGTAACTATCTTACTGAAATGTTTCTTCTCACAAGTGAGAGAAGTAATAATCAAATATATTAATATCAATATCTGGAGAATGCAATTTTATGTACTTCAAAACTAAAGAAGTGAGGCTTACTGGGCATTCAGTTTTTACTTCTGCCTGCCGAGTTCTGTGCCGTCGTCCTAAATGCATGATTTTCTTCCATGTATAATAGTATTCAACACACTGTGCGACTGTCTTAGACTTCACCTATAATCATACAATAATTCAGATTCTGCATCAACACATTATCAGCTAATGTACGACATTAATATGCAGCACACTCACTACAAAAAATTCTCAGATATATTCATTAATATTGTATATTTTATCACAATTTCAAAACTTTGAAGCAGTACCAAAAATGTAAACTTGGTTTTGGATCTTACTAAGATGCATGAGGGTTAAATCATCTTAAACTCAGCAAATTCCTCTTTTGAAACAGATTAAACTTTAAACTTTGACAGAGAGTAAATTGTTGAAAATCAAACAGTGAATTTCAAAGATGAGCAGGAGACTAGAACCCAGTCTTCACAATCTGATATATATTTCACTCCAATTCATAGAATTAATGTATGGTCAAATTGTCACGTGTTTTAAAAATAAGAACAAATTCTTGCAGATGGGACCTCATCTAAGTTTAAATATACAGACTTTCATTTATAAACCATGCCTGCTGGAATTAGTCTAATTGCAGAGGTCCCCAACCCCTGGTCCATGGACTGGCACCAGTCCATGGCATGCCAGCAACTGGGCCGCGCAAACAAGCAAAACCCCATCCATGGGATGCAGGCAGCATGCAAAACCACGCCCCCTCCAGTCCAAGGAAAAACCTTTCTCCATGGAAGTGGTCCCTGGTGCCCAAAAGGTTGGGGGGCACTGGTCTAGCGGATAAATAAGTGGTATCCAGAAGATCAAAAATGCCACGAAAACAAGAGAGAGAAACAGCTCACCATTTTTTGTACAAAAATGAAATCTTTGCCATATGTTGCCAGTGCTTTACTGAACAATTTTCTTTCAAATGGTGTCCACTGGTCTGAACCTGAAGTAAATGGAACAGGTGAGAAGCATTACATTTTTACTATCAAATGAGTAACTTTCTTTCTCAGTGCTCAGCCAACAGCACCTGCCCTGATAAAAGCTCTCATGTGCAACTGGCAGGCTCTCTTTACAAACTTGTTTTAGAACTTACCAGCATAATGATAATTGGCTAGAGGATGTGATTTTGCTCTTTTTGGTTTCAAAAGAAGCAGCATCTCCAGAGCAGCCTGCAATATTAACAGAGACAAAGCAAATCAGGATCGTATATGGTTTGCAATTATTAGAATTATACCCATTCTTTTAATAACAGTTAATACATTTCCAATTTTCCAATGTACTTTGCCTATGATATGCTGCATTTTAAGACTGCAGAGCCCTTGCTGGACTCATTTATGCAGTGACTTGTTGACCTAGGTTGTTTCTTGCTTAAGTTGCAGTCCTTTGAACAGCTGGAATGGACTGGAACTGGAATTTATTTCTGAGAGAACATAAAACATTAGATATTGTATTAGATACTAGACATTTGCAGCCATAGACTTTTCTTAAAGAAAAACTGGATGTGGGTTTTTAAAATAAAGCACCCTCTTAGAAATTATTCAGAAGTTGCACTAAAGAAAGAAAAATCTCATTAATGGCAAGGGAGACTATTTCACAATTAGTTATTCAAACATTTTCTTTCTGTCCAATTACTTCACGAAATCTGTTACTATTTTTAACATGTTCTGTAACCTACCATAATATTCCCTTTAGCTTCAAAGAGAGAATGCAAACCATATTCTATGTTGGTTCCTCCACCAGTTAATATGCTTGAGCAGCACATATTTAAGAGATTGGTCACTGTAATAAGAAAACAAAATTAATTTTGTTAAACAATTCAGCTGCTGAGTGCAGCAACATTAAGAAAAATGCATAAAGCCAATGTAAAGACTAATTCTAACAAGTATGAGTTCCTATTTTAATACAGCTGGGGCACAATAGGAGGTAGTTTATTTTAATTACTTGCTGAGATTTCTCCTCCTCCAGATGTGATTGTTTTTCTATTCTTTTGAAATTTTCCCTGTGGTGGTTTTTAGCTTGCTTTGTTGTTGGGGGGGGGGGAGGTGTGTGAAGGACACTTTTCCATTGAATATCACCCTGAAGTTTACAGGTTGTCCATGCATTGCAATCTGAAAATGGGAAGGGTTCTCTTTGAATGTTGCCCCCTGGATTTAATGTAAGCATGGAAAGCCAAAAATTCACACACTCTACTTAATCACCTCAAATGCAGAAATACACATCCTTGGAACAGTATTAATTGGCTTAAAAGGGGTAGATGAACATATGTGGAAAATATTACTTTTTAAAAATAAAAACAAAATCAGGTAATGGTGAAATAGATCAAGTATCAAAATAGCAGAAGATTGAACAAGATGTAAAAGATGTTATAAGTTCCTTGTTTGCACCGGTGCTTCCCAACTTGCAGCAAAGGGCAATTAAATAAAGGTACATCTGTTGGAAAGACACCCAGTTGGAAAAAGAATGGGGAGGTAGGGCAGCTAGTTTCAACTGTTGGCTGTCATGTAGGAGGCAGACAGAATTGGTTCAGAATTGTTACAGAAGATAGGACAGAAAATCCCAAAGGATTACAAGAAAGCAGATTTTGGCAAGAATCAGAAAATATTTCTAATGGTTAGTGCAGTCATGATTGCCCCCCATGGGCCATTTTCAGACTGGGCAGCACAGGCATTCTGAGTTTTAGATGGATGGAAAGATCAAGAACCAATCTGGGTTGGTCACCGGGACCAGAGGTTTAGTCTTCTGAGCTTTCAGACTTATGCTGGATATGAAACACATTCCTCATTGAAATTGTGAAGTCTCCTTTGTTGGAGATGTTTAAACAGAAGATGAATGGTCACCTGCCAGGGATGTTCAGGTGTTGGATTTCTGCACTGAGGACTGATGATTCTCAGCTCCCATCTTATATAGTATGATTTTAAGATTAAGTACCAGTTTAAGAAAGCAATTAATTGTCACACTACGAATCAGCCAAGTCGAATGATAAACCAAGAAAGCATACGTAGTAGAAATGTGCAGTTTGTGAAGTAGATTTGTGTATGAAGGCAAGAGGATGAGAGAGTAATATCCCTAAGCCAGAAGAGCTAAAATGGAACCTGGAAGCTTTCTGAAGCATTTGTAATAATTTTAAAGCAAGGATGCAGACCTCACAAATAAAAAACCCACACACATTTTGTGCACTGCTGTATAATTATGAATTCTATTGTCCTGTGGTATATCAGTTTTTAAAAATACATACAGTTAACTTAATTATCAGGGAACCAATATATTTATATTAAAATGAAAAAGAAGGTCAAGCAAATGAAAGTCTGTTGTTTTCTCATACAGTTCTTAAAACAGGCTAAAGGGGAAATTAGCATTTTTGTGATTTATAACACTTCAAGAGATCTGTAAAAGATTCTTTTTCTTTTTGTACCTTCTTTTTTATTCCTATGTATTTCTCTGTATGTATGAATATGTACATAACAGCATGTGTGAAAATGAGTGTTAATTCCCATTACAAAATAGTGCAAGGGATGTAGATGTAAAGACTTCAAGAAAACTGTATAGAAATTATTTCACAGAACTTATTTCTTAGTGAATAGAGTCTTTTGAAGAAAACTAATTTATGGAGTACTAAGACAGCCCAATGAAGAATTTAAATAAACAATGTAGGGTTGAATGTACAATGGAGATTTTTATGTTATATTATATGTCAGGTCCAAGTATCCAAGGGCCTTTTCTATTTGAGATGGATCTAACAGAAACTTGTTTCTAAAGCAAATGGATAAATAAACCATTTTTCCTTGATTCTCTTTCCTCCTACGGTGTCTGATATTAACCTCCAGAAATTATGAGTGTAGAAGGAGATCAGAGTAAACTGTTATTTTCTCCCATTCTTTAACAGTATAATCTACTGAACATAGACTTGATTCAAGTCTGTTTTTTGCAGTAAAGTACCAAGAAAATCTAAAAATCTAAATTTTTAAAACTAAGAGACAGCAATTCTGAAAATACTCATTTTTTTATTTCAAACTATGAGTTTGGATTAATCCCTATTAACTACCCAAAGTAATCTTGGTGAGTCAGTAGAGATATATATAAAACAAAGCAAAGCAAAAATTCACTCTTTTAGGTAGTATAAAAATATAGTACCTCTTTGTTCAAAAGTTTTGTCCTCCAGTTCTGGACATGGTTTCCAAACTAAAGTTGCCTTATGATCCTCCTTCTCCACCAATGCTATATCTTTAAGTTCAGGGATATTTGCCTGGAAACTTGAGCCAATGTTGATACACCTCAAAGAAATAAAAATATTTAAAGCATTAAAAATGGAAGTCTACTGCAGAGCCTTCCTAAGTCTTCCTCCTCAGAGGAGCCTAAAGAGAAGGACTTAGGAAGAAAATAATGGCAGGGGAAAAAAATCACTTGTATAGCAAAAAACACATTAAGGCAGAAAGCAGAAGTGAAGTAGAAACTTCATATAAAGTGGTTTGTTTCCTTACAGAATCAAGCTGAATAGACGACATACTTGTTCTTCATCAAAACCATCCAAAAAGGATCCAGGAAAACAGTATGTCAAGGGCATCACCTTCTGATTGTGAATGAACAATATGACTTATTTGAAGGACCACCTCTTCCTGATTACATTTACCTGCCCCATTAAGTCTGGCAGGAGAAATGTTGTAGGTCCCATGTACAAAAGAGTTCCATCTGACAGGTCCTAAGAGATGAGGCTGTTTGCCATGGTATCTGCCCTCTGGAACAACCAATTGCTGTAGTGGCACAATGGTTAGAATGCAGTATTGCAGGCTGACTCTGCCGGCTCAAGGTTGACTCAGCCTTCCATCCTTCCGAGGTCAGTAAAATGAGGACCCAGAGCCAGGTTGAGTTCTCATTTCCCAATATGCCACTGATGACCAACATCTGAGGTCATACTTCATGGTTTAATTCAGGACTGCAGTTTTGTAATATTTAAATATGTTGCTCTTAAAACCATTTAAAAGTAGCTACCAATGTAACAAGTTGAGCATAAACAAGATAAGAGGTCTTGATGCACATGCAGGAATACCTGAAAGACTCACAGGAATGATTTATATCTCAGCCATTTTTTAAAAAGAAACACACTCTCTCCCCCTCCCCAACCAAAACAATTGTGTTGCATGGATATTACATCTCTCTACAAAAGACTTACGGTTCAATATCAATAGTCTGTTCTCCAGGTCTTGGGGTCACAGAAACACTGTTTCCAGCAATACTATCTGCAAGAAAAATGATAATATAATTTCAGCAGGTTTCCTTTTTTGTCTTTGCTAACTAAACAGGTTTCTATTACAGAAAACAACATTATATCTAAATAAAGAATATTTCTCATCCTAATAATAGAGCACCCATTTATATAAAGTTGACCTTTCGTTTTGAAAGAAGTGCCATCAGGTCATAAGAAAACTGCTCTAATGAAAGTATTTGTCAATCAAATGCCCTCCAAATATGTGGAATCAAGGCCTGGCTAGGGATACTGTGACTTTTCCTCCATAACTGGAAAGGGTTGGGAGTTTGGAAGGTCACTCTGGGGAGCCAGTACCAATCCAAAAAGACTATGTTATTAAAGAGACCAACAGATCATATAAAATCTACTTTTTACATTTAATTGTATCTTTACATATGCTTTCCACACTGTTATGAAAACAATTACTAACAGGATCCTCGCATGGTATGCTACTTTGTAAGACTATTTCCTTTTACACTCCCAAGACAATTATTCAAGACTGCAAGCAAATGTTTTTGTATCTGCAGTGATGAAATAAAAAAAAATGTTTCCATGTGGTGTAGCAATGCTGTCAAATTTGCTAGTTTCAAGGACATGGTTCTTTGCATCAACAGATTCCAGTAAAAATGGAAAGTTCACGGTGTTGAAAAAGTAACTTAATTACCTACCATTCCATTTATGACCTTCACAGGTCTATAAAGCAAAGCAAAGCAAAGCAAAGCTAAAGTAAGTTTATAAGTAAAGTCAAAGTTTCACTGAGCAACCACTTTGCTTAATGACTGAATTGTGGTCACTAAACAAGGACCGCTATAACTGGAATTTCTGGGCCACATTTTAGAGATAAAGGAAGTAGCTCAAATCAGCATACGTTGATTCTCTGCATTTCTTCTTGAACCCATCTGAAACAAAGTAATTATATCTAGATGTGCGGGAACACTATAAGAAGTACAAACAGAATAAATTTAAGCCAACATTATCATCATTCACGAGTGAATAAAACTGTTAGTTCTTATGTGACCAACATCTATACTACAATACAACATACTTACTAGATTGACAGAGGAGAATCCGGGGAGTGGGTGTCAGAGGAGTAAGGGGCAGCTGGGGATGAGATATACTATGAGAAGATATGATGACGCTGCTGAAGAGTCCAGATCCTTGCCGTATGGGGCTAAGCATGGGAGGTGGTGTATAAGGTGGGGGATTATGAGTCCTGTCAATTAGAAGGTCTCCTAAGACACGAGGAGAGCGAAGTTGGCTTTGGTACAGAGTAGCCCCTAAGAGAGATGCACTGAGACTGAAGGAGGGAGGTGGTATGAAGAGTGGTTCAGGTCTGTGACGGTATTTTTTCTTGTCTTGAAAAGATTTGATATTTTCTTCAGAGCTGGTGATACTTTGGTGGTGCTTTCTATTGGGATCCTGAAAATACAAAAGTTCTTATTTTAATAGTGAGTGTATTTAATCATACAATTTTTCAGCGAAACGTGAAAACATGGACTAAACAATGAATCTTTCAAGATTCAACTTACAGGTGCTGTATTCTGACTTCATCAGAGCAATACATCTACTCGTTTTACTATTGGGAATCGGGCTTAAAGAGGAATTTGGGAATTAAATTAATTCCTCTCATGACTGTCTGCCAGCATTTTAAGATCCTTTGGAGAGGACTTTTTTTTATGCCAGAACTGTATGAAGACCAGTGACGGGAACAAAGATCTTCGAGAATGGCTTTATCTTCATAATGGAACTTCCTGACTCAGGAGACTAGATTGCTTAACTTTTAAATAGCCGTCCTTAAGTTGCTATTTACTAAGGGAGGCATTGATAGGAATGTAGCATTTATTTATTTTCACTGCTGGATTTTAATCCTTGCCCCTCCTTTTAATGAATCCACCATGAAAACCTTTAATAATTTTGGATTAGGAATTTTGGGTTAGGAATCTACATCCCAACCTAACTATGGATGATTTAAGGCAATCTCTCTCTTTCAGACCCAACTAGCACATAAGATTACAAAGATAAAATAAGGAGTGATCCTACATCTTAGCAGAAGGCAGGATACAACAGTAGTAAATAAATAAAATATAATAACATTCCTCCCATCTTGCCCTAGTTTTTTCATGATATATTGAGGGAGTGATTTTTTCAGTTGGTGAGACACATTCACCAAATTAAACTTAGCATGGACAGTGGTAAACCAGAGACCTTTCTGCTGACCTGGGATCCACTCTTTGGGTACATCAGCACACCCTGAAAAATATAAAACTATTATTAAACTTGTACAGCTTCATCCCCTGGTTTAGTTTTGTAATAAACTTTCATTATTAAAAGTAGTCAGGCCTTTCGTACTGATGCATGACTTCCTGTATTTACATTTATGTCACTTTTTAAAAATAAGTGCTGCAGATTTTGCTTCCTGTTTATTTTGTTAATAGACTGTAATTATTTTTTACTATTACCCATATTTTAGTTGTTGTGAAATTGTATTTCTAAAATTCTTTACATATAAAAAAAATAAAACAACAAATTTATAGAGTGATTGGACAAAGGCACATTTCATTTTCAAGAAATAATGATCAATCATTATTTAAGTGAAGTATGATCCAGAAAATCTGTTAAAAAGTTGTCCTACAATTTTAAAACCAGTCGCATTAGGAAGTCAGACATTGGCCTAATGGAATCTAATACTGTGGAGTTGCTCCTTCTCAGATCATTCCCCACAACTGTCCTTTCCTGGAGTGCATGCTCAATTTTCTTAGGAAAGTAATGCAAAAGGACCTTCCCCTTACAGGTTTCTTTCCAAACTACTGTCTGAAGCTGCTATTCAATTAAATAACAAAAAAGGAGAGAACCAATGCACTGGAGATCTGTTAAACACTCCCCAGGTTAAACACTTCTAGGAAAGGCAGAGAGTTTAAAGACCATCTGCTATCTGTTTCTAGTGTTTCAGATTGCACTTCCCCGTTCGTTTCCCAAAGAATTATGGGGAAAAAAAAAACCAACGGTAGACAAGATCATGCATTATTATTTCTGCTTTTGTGAGATTATTTAATTGTTCTTCTAGAATCAATAAAACTGTAGTGCTTTCTAATCTAGAACAAGACTATGCTTAAAGCAGGATGGAATGAATGATGTAATTCTGGATAAACTTGTGTGATATCAGAACCAAGCTATCAGAACGAAGTCCATGCACAAGAGGGTCTTTACCAATAAAGATAAGCCCTTTATGGGCAATTACTAATATGAATTTTCCATAATCCCTCACAGTACCCAACTGGAAATTTTAAACTGGCAGCTGACTGGCATGGGAGATCCAAGGCAAAGGTCAGGGCTGCTTAAGTTTCACTATCTTAAGTAGCACATGCTGGACTTGCATGCCAAATGACACACATTTTAAACTTAAGACAGCAGACAGTTGTAACTTCAATTTATTGAAGAAAAAGTGATGCTTATCTAAGGAAAAGAAAGCATCAGTCTCAAGCCTTTTACAATACTTATTCTCTGGAAACAATCTCTGGCAAAATGCATGGGCACACGGGCATGCACACAAACACACAAGTAGACCAATTTCAAGAAGAAAACAAACTGGCTCTCAGCCAGCTGCAACACTAAAATAAGCAAGCACAAAGAACATTAAAGATAACAAATCCCTTTGTTGCTTTCTATTGTGTTTGAAAAATTTGGACCATTATAGATGAATAATTAACACTGGCTTTGAAATAATTGGAGAAGTCCTCAAACATGGGTGTAACACAAAGGGATTTATTAGGCTCCTATGGCAGTTAGTGGCAAGAAGAGAACACTCACAGAAGAGGTACTCGGGCTGATGGCGTTAGGGGAATGTGCAGGAGAACAGATCATCCTCACAAGGACAGGCATCTCATCATCTGAGACAGGCTTGTCTTTGACCGGGGCACAGCCATCTCTGGCCTGCTTGTTGGGCTCAGGCGACAGAACCTTTACAGGGACAGACACAGGCATGACGATAGGCGCAAAGCTATCCGCTTCAGAGGGCAGCTGTTCCTGCTGGTGCTGCTGTGGCAGGTTCTCCCCATCCTCCTGTACAGACAATTAAAGGCTTTCACCCACAACTTCAAACGCCTGGATGGATCACTAGAATACTTATAGGTAGCATGAACATCGGGGAATTTTAGGGCATTTTAAAAGACCCATTTTAAAAGAACCATTATCAGGGATTACAGCAGTGGTTCTCAACCTTTTTAATGCCGCGACCCCCAACTGGTCGTAAGTCGAGGACTACTCAACCGGTCGTAAGTCGAGGACTAGTCAACTGGTGCAGCACCGTTTGCAGAATGTGACTTTTGGCAGGCTCAGCAGGGCAGAGACAGCCTGGACAATTCCTATTGGCTTTTGAAAGCCAATAGAATTAGACTCTATTCAAGAGAGTCTATTCTATTGGCTTTCAAAAGCCAATAGTATAAAAGAGAGTAGCACAGCTAGGGAAAAGGGGGAAAAAATGGCGAACTGCATTGTTTGGCGACCCCCGTGAAATGGTCGTTTGACCCCAAATGGGGTCCCGACCCACAGGTTGAGAACCACTGGATTAGAGTAATTTCCTGCTACCTTGAAATAAATGAATCAGTCTCAAGTATTTTTGCTGCAAAAAAATTTAACATGATTCCTCCTTTAGAAAACATATCCTCACTGAAAACCTGTATCCAAAAGGAACACAAGAAAACTGGACAGAAAGAAACAGAAAAAACAAAGTTGTATTGAAGAGTTTCTTGTACTTAAAACTGTTCGACCAATAAAGAGGATACTGACGTATACACAGTGAGGAACCCTGTTCAACTGGAGGTCGGCCAAAGCCTATGCTCAGATGTAGTTCTTTTCTTATATATAACATCAGTTAACAGATCAACAACAATGGAGAATTAATACACTTGGAACAAAGCTGGAAAAAGACATTTTTTTTTGACAATAGCAAGCTTGAGAATATTTTTTTAAAGAAAGACATAGTTAAGCAAGCAGCAAATTTTACAAAAGGGGACGACCAAATATTCAAAAAGAAATACACAAGCAGTGATACCTGTCTGAAGATAGGAGATGCCCGTATCCCTCCATGCGACCTCATGTGACCATTTAGAGCTGGTAAACTTTTAAACTCTTTGAAACATACAGAGCACGTCAGTTTGCTCTTTGATTCAGGTCTTTCAACGTATGTTTCTTTATCACAAGCATTGCTGTTACAAGAGACAGAGAACAAGATGCTGATTTGGAAAGAATGCTCCTAGATACATTATAATTAATATACACACAACGGGGGGGCGGGAGAAGAACTCTGAAACCTCAGCAGCATTTGATGCATGATCAAATGGTTGAATCCAATAAAACGGAAAAACAAAATAATCACAATTCATTCAGCCATCCCCTAATTCTTACAGTTCTTGCTGTCACATATTATACTAAAACCATTACTGGAAGTATTTTCTGGAAGGACTGTATATAACTATTAAGAAGATCAAGTTTCACTTCTGCAGAAATGTACTACTGCCTTTGCTGAAAAGTTAACAAAACCAAAGTTAAGGTAAATGGATATACAAACAGAACTTAAATTTATGACAGGTATAAATATTGAAAGAATATCAGGTTAAATATTCAGAGCAGTGTTCTCAAAATTCAGAGAAGACACAACAAGATTAAAGTTTTATCCTTGGGAAGTAATTCCCACTAAGAGAGATGCTGGAGTAATTATAAACAGGATCATATTGAAAATACAGGAACACTCTTCATGTATTACTCAGTCCATTAGAATAGGTGGCTTCTGTGAAAGGTGCCAGATAGGCTGTGACCTAGAATACTTAAATGATTAGATATAGATCAAACCTAACTCATATGCCTGAGGGTTAAGTTTTATATTTTTAACAAGTAAGGAAGGTTCCATCGTGTTATATGGCCTTCTACCACAGGTTGATATAACTGCCACCAAAATTATTGCTCTACTGCAAAACAGCAAAAGGATTGTTTACAAGATGGTTGATTATTTGTACACTATTTTAGATTTTTAGGCCACTATTTTGGATTTTTAGAAGACATCCAGTAATTAATCACAACGATACCTTTGTTCAGGAGAAACTGATGAAAGTCTTCCATCAAGTAACTGGATCTGCTGTTAAAAAGATAGTTGTTCAATTATAGTTTGCACCACTTTTCCTAATCTAGATACCCTTCAAATGTGTATACACATATACCTTGATCAAGAGACAAAGCTCTAGTGATAAGAAATTGATTACAATCAATTGAATGAGGTTTTTTTAATGGTCCTTAGTTGTTTCTCATGGAATCCCACCAAAACACAGTTTGAAAAATCCTGGTCTAAAATATTGGGAATCTTGGGGAAGGCATTAAAGGCATCATTCTGCTACCCTATATACGGTAGTTCAGATCTGAACAGGAAACAATATAGAACTCTTGGAGAAGAAACAAAAAAGCCTCCTGATTGGGTTTCTTAGTCAAATGGATGGTGAGGCCTTATCCAACAGCTATCATTGATAAAATGCAAAGACTGAAACCCTAGGCCTGAAGACACCTATCCCAAAGCCTTTCAAAATCTGCTATTGAATTATCAGTTTTAATACAAGAAAAGGGAAAGTGTTAATTTTTCAAACATATTTTTACATTTAATTTCAATGGGAATGATATTGAATGAAGCTTTTGTTCTGGCTCCACTCACCCTATTATTGAAATCCAAGTATACATTTCACAAACAATGATGCATGCCTGCTCTATGTTATGAATAAGACAACAAAGCTTTTTTCCAAACTTACTTATCAGAAAGCTAGATATAAAGTTTTACATACCTGTGGCCATACTGCACTGGGAGACAACTGCTGAGGTCTTTTGTTATTCATCTGAATACTTGTTGTAGGTCTAAGAGATTGTTGAGAGATTGTGCTGTCCCCAGAATTCAGGCCCTGTGGTGCTGGAACTTCAGTCTCGTCTGCCACAGGGAGTCCCAGGTGTTCATCCATCAATGCCTGAGTGTTACCATCAGTCTGATAATGATCAGGCTGACTGGCATCACCAGATGGCTGTTGCTGCTGCAAAACACTTTGTGGATACAAATGTTTGAATGACTGCTGATCTTGATAGAAATATGGAGGGACTGCTCCTAGCTGTATAAGCTGCATGGAATTACCTCTGTCTTGGGAATATTGCTGAGGTTCGTGCAGAGGCTTCTGGTTGGTGTCCCTGTGATAGGGAGAAAGTTGTGTTTGTATCTGCTGCTGCTGCTGCTGCTGCTGCAATTGTTGCATCATAGGCTGTATTGGATAATACTGAGCTGTTTGCATGGAACACTGCCTCTGTTGCTGCTGCTGAGCCTGCATTTCATGTACCAAGAGCCTGTGCTGTCCTTGATGGGGCTGCTGCTGCAGATAGTATTGGTCTTGCTGTAGCTGTGGTGGCAACAAATGTTGAGAATGCATTTGCTGCAAGTGGGCCTGTCCCTGGTGCATGGTAGAGTGCATTGGAATATGGGCAACATGTTGCTGATTGTCATAATAAAGAGAGGACTGGTGTTGCATTAACTGCATCTGTTGCTTCTGTTGTGCACTTCCAAAGCCAGGATGGACTTGCTGTGACATCTGCTGGTATCTTGGCACAAGTTGTTGCTCCACAGCAGGTTTCTGAGACAGCAATTGTCGAAGTGCACTATCGCCAGCATTCTCCATCACTGAAGGTTGCGACTGAATATGCTGAGACACATTGTTCACTTGAATTCTTAAATTTTGGCTAGCAAACACCTGGGCAAAAGAGTCTAATTTATGCAAAACTCCACTGGTAATTTTTTGTGATCTGAGGTCATTGCCTTGGGAACAGAGATGGTCAAAACCATCAACCGGTTCGCTTTGAGCTATTGGGTTCCACATGACATGCTGACTGTTTCTTACTGGGAGGTGGTTTCCAGATGCCAAATGGGCCCAGTCTGCTTGCCTAGGAGAATCCATTAATCCAAGGCCTTTGGGCCCAACATTCAAGGATATGTTTTCCCTGGCATCGTGAGGGAATGACGGAGAGAGGGGAGACTCTGGAGATGTATGCATGGCTGACGTTCCATAGCTGTGGTTTGCAGATGCCAGAGGACTCAAGTGCTGGTGCTGGTAATACACATTTTCGCTGTTGTTAACTATATGGTTTGTTTTATATGTCTGCTGATCCCCCATTTTCAGCACTTTTTCTCTCAGCAAAAACCATTTAAAACACAATCAAAGACTGTAATCCTGAGAGAACTTAAAAATAAAACATTTCAAAACTATTTTATTCTTTTGACCACTTGTTCTGCAGAACTGAATTTTTTATGGTTGGTGAATTCCTCTTCAGCATCAAAAAAAGCCTATACAGAATACAAATTATTTGTTGTGCTTTAGTCACCTGTAAAAGAAAAGGAAAGGAACGTAACTACAGCCGTTCTATATTTCCTCAAACACAACTATTCAAAACTTTATTCCTATTTGGAAATGCTGGGTTGTAGTATCCAGTGAAAAGTTTGTCACCTGACCGGCAAGGACAAAGATTCTGGCAGGTGAGGGTTTTTTTTATTTATTTAAAGGACGGTAATATCTTGTTTTTACATTTTTCTTAAGCCCTAAATATCAACTTCACAATGTTCCCTACTGAAAAATTTAGTGTTTAGTAGTTTGCCACTGCAATTTCTAGGTGCTCTGGTGATATAAGAGAGAGACCAGGGTTATATAAAATCTATAGACTATGTTACCCACCTATTCAAAAGAATAAATTCATACTTTACAATGTTCCTAGGTATACCTTTGTTTCTGGAGATTTAAATGGCTTTAACAGCATGCAGTCTATGCTCGTGGAGGGCGTGGCAACTCACAGATCATAGCCCCAATGTAGACTTCTTTATAATCCTTAGAAGCCAAGGCCCAAAATCTTGAAGGCAAACTTCAAGAAACAGTGGATCAATTTCTTATTGATTTGGCGGGGGGGGGGGGAAGAGAACAAAGAAGGAAACAGTGCATCAGCCTTCTTTGGAAAAAATAATGTGCCTCCTACCACCAAATGGAAAAAAAATGCTGTTTCAGCCACTGCAGTCCTTACTTGTTTAATATATATACACCATGTTTACCCACACTGAGCTGAATCTTCAGTATTAGCCAGAAAGCTGCCTGTGATTAAACCTGGCTATATTGGCTATCTATTTAGTAGCACATTTCAAAGTGTTAGTGTTACAGTGCTTTGGACCCAATTCCTCAACAGAAGTCTCTACACATGTATTGTGTCTTGAGAAGCATTCCTGTCTCTATTCTGAGAATAGCCCACATGGAAAGAACAATCTCATATATGGAAGCATAATTTTATGGGATTGCTCTACCAGAGGGAGGATTAGCTGACACTTTGTTGTCTGTATCATGCTAGGCAAAGACACACAGAGATACGCCATATTTACACACCATTCTAAAGAGCTAAGGATGCATAAACTAAGGGAGAAATCACAATAGGAGAACATATCTTCTTCAGCAGCCAACACCCAGATAAAAAGGGATTAACTTATGATAAACAATCAAACAGAAAACAATATCTTCATCAAAGAAAAACCAAGGAGAAAATCACACACCCATCAACACTGGCAGGCCAAGATATTGTATACAAACAGGGAGAAAACCCCACATTCACTAGCAGAGATGATGTTACCTAGTAGGATAATGAAATGTGTGCAAGCAAACCACCAAGCTCAGAGAGCACCAAAAACTTCAAAAACCTTTTAATTTTACAGGCTTTCAACAGATTGGCTTAATTTATTGCTTTGAACTACTGATATTTTATACTGCTCTTTATACAGTACATTAATGTTTTATTATTAAATATTTTAGTGTTCTTTTGCTGATTGATCTAAATGTATATATTAAAGCAACTATAAGGTACTTCATAAAATTAATATATCAAACCTAAGAGGGCTTAATGGTTCAATACTAATGCACAGTTCAGCTTGCTGAAGTCAATAGTAAATAAAAGTTTTAAAAAAATATCCAACAAAATGTTCTCTTACAGTACCTTTAATGAAGAACTTTCTTACTTCCCTATAGGTTTCCATGAGTACCTCAATATTTGGCTTTCAAGACCAGGAATGCTGAAAAGGTCATCCTCCTAATCCCCTACAGTCATAACCTCTTTCCATGAAATTTCCTTTGCCCTCTCAGCCTGCACCTCCTTCCCATCCAGAAAGCTCCTTAACCATCCTACCTAGGTAATAGTTCAGGCTCTCCTCCCTACCCCATATCCTAACTTGATGATATCTTCAGACTCTGGGGGAGTGGGGATGGACAGCTTCTCAGGAAAACAGTGCAAATATATTCCAACAGTCACATTGTCCCAATGTGGGAACATTGGGATAACAGGTTCCTCTACATTTGCCTCTAAAGTAGGCAAGTCAGAACAAAAACTCCTCCTAACAATATCAGATAGGAACAAATCCAAACTAAAGCCAGGCTTAATCCTAGCAGCCACCCTCCTGGACCTCCTAAAATATATACCATACTTTCCTGAAAGACCCAGTCTGCTTCTGCTGCTGGTGAATTCAGGCTCTGATGTATCAGACAAAAAGGCTACCAATAGCAATAGTACTTAGACTTATATACCACTTCACAGCATTTTACAGCCTTCTCTAAGTGATTTAGAAAGTCAGCATATTGCCCCCAACAATCATTTTTATTGACCTCGGAACAACAGAAGGCCAAGTCAACCTTGCTTTGTACCAATAGTACAAAACAACTCCAGATCCAGATATCATTAAATGTAGAGGAACTATAAATATGGTTCCCAGATATTGATTAAATCCAATATTCAGATTACATATTAGGCAAGCCAAGTAAGATCTTTAAAGTGCTCTCCAATGATTCTCAATGAGAAGTATTGGTATTACCTTCTCTCTACAGGGATGTGGGCCAATGTCAGCTTTCTGATGCCCTATTTCAACTGCTAGATGTTAGGCTGCACCTGTTCTCCACCCATCATCCATAGTTGATTGGATCCACAATTGATTGAAAGAAAAAAATGCCATCATAAGAATTTTTTTCATTTCTCTGTTAACCTCAAGGTTAACTATACCTGTGGCAGAATTTGCTTATAACAACTCTGTTGATACCCTAGTTTAGCTTTGTGAGCAGTACTAGGTAGACCACACCAAGAAATCAACTCTAAAAGATGTCTACAAATACTTTTATTGAAACTGATTATTATTACAGAATCATTTGAGTCTGATTTTGCTGTGCAGTGCCTTCTCCTCCTTCTTGTAATTCTGTGAATTAGGGAGATGATTGAGTTGCTTCCAAATGTTATCTGGACATTCTGGACTTTAAAAATGTTTTACTTTTGTTTCCTTGGCATTGTTTCCTGTTGCGTTTATTTGTCAAAGTCATCTTCTTTACTCTCTGCAACTGCTACCCTTTAAAACTCCATCCATCCATCCATCCATCCATCCATCCAGTTTGTATGTCGCCTGACTCCCAACATCTCTTACCATTTTTGCCTTTGCCCATCTTAGAAGCCTACTTCAGAAGAGTCAGATTGTGTCAAGGCCCCCTATTTCCTCTGCTTCTTATTACTTCAAGAAAGGTTCCCCCATCATTGTCAGATAGCACACCGGCTTGTTGGCTCTTGGCCCTTTAATCCAAAAAGGAAGAATTCAAGATGGGGGGAGCTAAAGAATGCCAATTACCAACTGCCATCTCAGTACCAGATCCAAAAACTACAAAACAAGGTCTAAAAAGTTGTTAAGAAAAAACAGGAAGACAGTGAGTAAAAAAAATAGATCATGCTCTCATTTTGAAGCTATCTAAGCAACTTCAATCTACTCAGTAATAAGGAGCCTTATTTAACCATGTCTGAGTAGTTTTTGCAGAGTCTGACAATTCAAAAATCAAGAAAGATCAAAGGACCTAGAAATGTTTAGCCTTGAGGAGATCTGGGTGGCCATGACAGTACTCTTCAAATATTTGAAAGAATATCACACAGAACAAGGTCAAGGTCTGTTTTCCATCATTTCAGGGTAAAGGATGTTGATTAATAACATTTAAGTTAAAGAGCGGTAAATTCCAATTTGAATGTTACAAAAAAACCCCAAAAACCTAGCAGTACAAGAGCAGCTATTCCTCGACAGAGGGGATCTGTTGTCTCTCACCGCCACTGCCTGTCTGCAGCCAATCCTCCCCTGGGTTCGTGAAGGCAGGCCACTCCCTCTGGTTGACCACTTCCCCCAATGCTGGAGGGGCCTGGGACAACATCATCCTCAGCCCTGGACTCTCTGGACGTTCCAGGGGAGATGTGCCTTACCCGTCAGATCATCCCGGTTCCAACTCTTCCTCCTCCTCCTCCTCCAAACTGGGATCTGACAGGGCCATGAAAGCTGCTTGTGAGGCAGCAGACTCACCCCTCTTGATGGACTGCACTGGGGAATGGCTATTTAGCTCAGCAAGTAGAGTGAAACAATGCTGGGAACAACATGTCTGTTTCCTTGCCTTGCGTTTATCAACCTCTGTGCTTCTTGACGTGAATCTTGTTTCCTGACTCAGACTATGTACATTGCACGTTGGCTCATGCCTTGACCTCTGGATTTCACAGATTTTGCCTGTGCCTCACAGACTTGTTTTGGGCTTCACAGACTTGCCTTGCTTCTGCCTTTGGACTTGTCTTGCCCTGTGGATTTGTATTGGGTTTGTTCCTAGACTGAACTGTGAACTCTTGGGAGTTGTTGGCATGGGGATTTCTGGGCTATGGAAAGCCTCAAATAAAATCTTTACCCCACCTGTGACATGTGCATGTGTGAGCAGGATCAGGACAAAGAGGTGGTGGATTCTCTCTCACTATCTCTCAGCCCAACCCACCACACAGGGTTCTTGTTGTTGGGAAAACAGGAAGGAGCACTATGTATATTGCCTCGAGTCATACAGAGAAAATGCAGGATATAAGTAAACTGAAACATAATAAATATATAAATAAATAGATTCAGACTTAAATCTGGTGAAAAAGATATATGTTAAAAGGTTTACTACATACTGGGAGAATGGGGGTGCCACATACAATTTCCAAGAAAATGTTTTCTAGGAATTATACAGACGGAATTATACAGAAGACGATTCTCGCCAGCTTGCCAAATGATGATCTTTGATATATTCAGAAAGGTTTCTGCTGCTAATCTTAAGAAGAATCTTATGGGTTTGGAACCAGAGAGATTATCCCTAAGACACTCAGACCTTAAGCATTCAGAGCCTTAAATACAATACCTTGAATTTTTCTTGGTAAACAATATACAGAACTTTCAGTATCTCTTTCAGGCATTATATGATCCATGTACCCAGCTGCAGTTAAAACTCTGAATTGCAACATTTTATAGCAAGTTCATATTCAAGAAATTC